CAACATAAAAACTCATGGCCCACTAGTTCTCCTCCTCCATACGTTCACGGCATTTCCCCTTCTGCGATCTCCTCGCCTAATTTCGCAGACTATAATCCCTACTCTGCCTTGCTCAACAATACACCAGCTGATGTCAATTCAAATTACTTATCTCCTTCGTATTCATCGGCTGTCAAAAAATCGATGCATGCTTCACATCGCAGTAATTCAAACGCCTCGCGTAGTGAAAATTTGAATTCAAGTAACCGCACTAGGGCAGCACAATCCAATAGATCCGCAAATAATGAGGAAGCGGGCTCTCATACCTTTAGTCAAAATGCTCGTTCCGACACTGAAATGCGGCAGCAAGAATTTAAGAATATACATAACTCCATGTTTGCCCCCAACGGTAGGCTGGACAATGTCAATCTTCACCCCCACGCAGCGTTTAGTAATGATACTATAATAGTATAATAGATAATACTATAATAGTAATAATAACTATCATTTTGGCTATCCTCCATTCCACTCAACCCAGCACTCTCCATTTTATTCACATAGTTACCCTCCTTATATCTGCCTTATCTCGGACCCTTCTATTCTCCATCCTATATAAGATCTGAACGCCCTAGAAATGAGCGTACGGAGGAGGCTGTCTTCTTAGGCATATTAACTAATCTGATTCAACATTTTACAGGAAACATTCCCGATTCCATTAGGAATTCTCAGCTTGGACAGGGGCTCCAACGAGTCTTTGACGACTTACGCAATCTCAACTTGGCTCAAACTACAGACCATTAGTATGAATGCCAGACAAAACACCGTATGCGCCGCCTCCGGCCTCAGAGTAGCGTACTGGAACTGCCGAGGCATAACTTATAAAAAAGGAGAAGTTGAGAAAATGCTGGAGAGCCTTGACGTACTAATAGTGGCCGAAACCTGTCTCTCCAGCCTTCATGAATACGTGATCCGCGGCTTTGAGATGATCCGGCATGACTGTGATACCGCAGGTAAGAGGGGTATTGCCGCCCTTGTAAGAAAACCTCTTGCGTTCTTATGTTTTAGTGGTGAATTAAAATTGGACTCTTCATTTGAGCATGTCATACTCAGAATTACTTCCTCTGGAAGAGATACCTACATTATTGGTATGTACCGGCATCCTAATCTCCCCCTTCCCCCTGAC